TTCGTTGGCTTGCCACCATGCACATAGGCGTGTCAAGTGAGGCTCATAATATATTGATATGTTGCTTAATTTGTTTGAAAAATACTGATGCATTTATGAATTATTTTCGTATATTATATATATTATTATATATTATATATTACCAATAATTCATACCTATAATCGTTTTCAAACTGAATTCGATAAATAAAATATATATCTGATATAATTATGTGGCAGTGCGCCCAGACCCTTCTTGCTTATGTACGTTCATTTGTTTCTCCAAAAAGCAAAAGTGTAGACAAAAGTCATTGCTTGTGCGGAGCAAGAAAAGCAAGCTTCAGCGTACGTGTATTTAAGAATGTATGTGTGATTATCACATTTGTGTAATACGCATAATAAGGAAATATTCAATAAACCTAAACATATGAACATATTATTTTCCTGATATATTTAATTATCTCAGGAAGTAAAATAGCTATTAAGTAATTGAATTATGATATGCTTAGATTCCAATTAATAAAATAAAAATTAAATACAATTTTAATTTTATGTATTTACGATTCGAACGTATATGCTCGTATTCGGAATGAGCTTAATCCTTCGCGCTTACGACCTAACCACCACAAAAGTGGAAACGTGGCCGCTTGCACCGTTTTATTATTTATTTGTTTAATAAGTATATGCTTACGCAACGCACATACATAAGTTAGAAAACAGCTATTAAATGTTTATTTTATTATGAATTCTGGGGTTTTACCGGTAATACAGATTTTTAATTCAGAAGCTTTTCATATTATAATTTGTCATATCATAGAATTGAAAACATAAATAAATAGGTATGCGCAACGATTTTCATATAGGAATATTCGTTGTGTCTATTTATAGCATTTCGCATATTGTGTGGTGTATTTTCTTTTTCGAAGTTATACTTTCGATGTTCCCTCTTGTGGAATTACAAATTAGTACTCAAAAGTTTTCATTTAACATTTGCTCCTTCTCTACTCTTCAAACTTCTGGTTGAAGAGATAGAGAAGGCAAATGTTAAATGAAAACTTTTTAGTACTAATTTGTAATTCCACAAGAGGAAACATCGAAAAGTATAACTTCGAAAAGAAAAATCACCACACAATATGCGAAATGCTATAAATAGACACAACGAATATTCCTATATGAAAATCGTTGCGCATACCTATTTAGATTTATGTTTTCAATTTCTATGATATGACAAATTTTAATTATGAAAAGCCTTCTGAATTAAAAATCTGTATACCGGTAAAACCCCAGAATTCATAATAAATAAACATTTAATAAGCTAGTTTTCTAACTTATGTATGTGCGTTGCGTAAGCAATATTATTATTAAACAAATAATAATAATAAAACGGTGCTAAGCGGCACGTTTCACTTTTGTGGTGGCTTAGGTCGTAAGCGCGAAGGAGTTAAGCTCTTCCGAATACGAGCATATTAGTTCGAATCGTAAAATACATAAAATTAAAATGTATTTAATTTTTTTTTATTATTGGAATCTAAGCCTTCCATATTTCCATACTTTAATAGGCATATTTTACTCCTGAGATAATTAAAATATATCAGGAAAATATAATATGTTCATATGTTAGTTTGAATATTTCCTTTATGCGTATTTACAAATGATATCACACTATACATTTTAAATACACGTACGCTTGAGCTTGGTTTTCTTGCTCCTGCACAAGCAATGACTTTTGTCTACACTTTGCTTTTTGCGAGAAACAAGTGAACGTACATAAATGCAAGAAGGTCTGGCACCACAATATATCAGATATATATTTTTTTATCGAATTTCAGTTTGAAAACGATTATAGGTATGAATTTATGGTATATATATAATATATATATAATATATATTATATTACGAAAAAATTATAAATGCATCAGTATTTTTCATACAATTAAGCAACATATCAATATATTATGAGCCTCACTTGACACGCCTATGTGCATGGTGGCAACCAACGAAAAAACGGCGAGTTCGCGCGGACTTGTGTTGTTGAAAAACCAAATGACGACTTTGCCGACAAAACATATATTTATATACATACATACAAACGAGCTCGCATACATATTGACGCCAAATTTTGCGCATCGTCGCGGAGTTGACAAATTTGTTTAATCGACAATTTTGCGACAATGTCGATCGGCTTTGTTGTCTCGTTTGTCCTTTGCGGTGGTTTGCTATTGAAAATTGACTTATGCTCTTTTGAAATAGTGCGATTAACGATTAGGCTGCATTTTCATAGCGTCGTATTTAGATTAAATGGCTAAATCGACAAACTATAAATAATGATAATAAGTAAACATATAAAAGTACTATATGGACTGTGCTTAGAATGATATAGAAGTAGTTAATGATTTCATATGAATGTCAATTTTATATAAATTTTATAATTTTATGCCATAAATAGTGCATAATATGAAAATATAAATATTATTTAAACTCGCTAGAGGTCATGTTGCCAATTCTCCTTTTTGAAGTGAACATCAGACAAATTCTTCAATTTCTGATTTTTAAAATGTTGTGAGGTAGCAGCTTGTGGGCAACATACAAACGCGAGGGGGATGTAGGATTTTCAGTGATACAAATTGTAAATTGAAATTTTGCTGATTCTTCAATTTTACTGAAGTATTCAAATTCAATTCATTCATTTTTATTTTCGCGCATTTGCGGTAGGAATTCTATATGAAACCAAATGTGGCTTACCAGGCGCACAGAAAAATAGCGCGGGCGCAGAGTATGAACGAGCGCACTTTGCTTTGAAGCAGACGCACGTTCCTTATGAATGAATTTGTTGTCGTTGTAATATGAAATACTTAGAAAATAAGCCGCGAGTTCGCTTGAATATTATTGGCCGATGATGGTGCGTCTACGTTTTTTGTCACTTGCGCGAATGTTTGATTTTGCGAAAGACATATTGAGGGACATACATATGTACATATGTGTACATATATGCAAATATATTTGGACATGCGAATGAAAGAAGGCAATTTCAAGAATATTCACATATGGAACATATGAACATTGAAGGAAGTAAACAATATAGCTGTTTGAATTCACAGATTAGACTCAAGAGTTGAATATTGTCTGTGGTGCTGCTTGTATAGCAGACTTCTTATTGCAACTGAAATATTTTGCCTAAGTTCAAATCCAATCATATATTATTATAGTCTTTTTTTTTTTATAACCTTTTTTTGAATGATATTTGAATTCTATTTTATATTATTTCCTGATTATTAAATTTTCCTGTCAGAAGTCAATTTCTTTCGTTTTTATTATTTCAATTTTGTTTATTGCGCATATCAAAGAACATCTGGCATATGTATGTATATACATTTTGCTTATAGAGTGGTGTAGTTCGTTGCGTAAATTGACAGCAGTGGTGACATTTTATTTTCGAACTTGCGCGTTTTCGATGTTCCTTCTTAGCAATTAACATTTTAGTACTGCAACATTTGCTCCTTCTCTACTCTTCAACATTCTCCTGGTGCTAATTTGTAGTTCCAGATGAGGAACATCGAAAATATAATTCGAAAGAAAAATACACCACACTGTGTGGAAGGAGGAAAAGGCTATAAATAGGACACAACGAATTGAATAATCGTGAGCATACCTATTTAGATTTTAGTGTTTCAATTTCAATGATATGACGAAAATTAAAATTGTGAAAAGCCTTTTGAATTAAAGGAGGATTACTTTCAAAACCCCAGAATTCATTATAAAATAACCTTTGATATTGTAATTTTCCAACTTTTGTATGTGCCTTGAGTGAGTAATTGCTTATTGAAAACAAGGATAATAATAAAATGTGCTAGCGGTCGCGTTTTCATTTGTTATGGTTATGTCGTATGGCGTGAAGGAGTTAGCTCATTCCGAATACGAGCATATACGTTCGATCGTAAATACATAAAATTGAAATTTAAATAATTTTTATTTTATTAATTGGAATCTAAGCATATCATAATCACTACTTTAATAGATATTTTACTTCCTGATATTAATTAATATTTCAGGAAAATATGTTCATATGTTTAGGTTTATTGAATATTTCCTTATTATGCGTATTTACACAAATGTGATAATCACACATACATTCTTAAATACACGTACGCTGATGCTTGCTTCTTCTTGCCCCGCACAAGCAATGACTTTTGTCCACACTTTTTGCTTTTTGCGAGAAGCAAGTTGAACGTCGTATTTAGATAAAATGAGCTAAATCGACAAACTATGAAATAATGATAATAAGTAAACATATAAAAGTACTATATGCAGTGTGCTTAGAATATATAGAAGTAGTTAAAGATTTCATATAAATGGCAATTTTATATAAATTTTATTATTTAATGCCATACATAGTGCATAATATGAAATAAATTAAAATAATTTTTCAAATCGCTAATAGGTCATGTTGCCAATTCTCCTTTCTGAAGGGAACATCAGACAAATTCTTCAATTGCTGATTTTTAGCAAATGTTGTGAGGAAACAACTTGTGGGCAACGTACAAATGCGAGGGGGATGGTACGATTTTCAGTGATAAAATGTAACTTTAAAGTTAATGTCTTGGACAATCATTCAATATTACTGGTATATAATATCGCAATTTATCACAAATTTTTGAACATATTAGAATTATATCACACTATTTAAAGGCTTAAGTTTATTTACGCATGGCACAAAGTTTGGGGGAAGGGTTGGTGCAGAAGTCTATTGTTAGAAAGGTTTAAGCCACTTAATATTAAGACAAGTATGGCTGCTGGATGATGAGCATGCTAAGAAGGGCACTTCCACCAGAATGGAAGTTATTTACTACTAGTTGTTTGAGCTTCCCCTGAGCTGGTAAGAGGTTTTTAAGCTCTTCTCCCTCAGCAACTATTCACCTTTCTCCAGCTGTAATAGTTTTAACTAAAAATTTGAATGAAGTAGATGTAATTACTTAACATTTTCATAAGAATATTTTTTTTTTTAATATTTTTAAAACAACACCTTTTATCAACATCAATATTGCCTTTATTTGACTAGGACAAAGATTTTACACACATAAATAACACATAGACATATAAATACATACATCAATACATAGTAGTTGTATGTAACAGTGAGATGCCACCCGAACTTAAATATAATAACGCGTAAACAAAGATACATATATAAACATTTATAAGCTAGATTAGTTAGTTTTGAAATTTCAAACAATTTCTATGTAATTAATAGTAAATTAAACAAAAATATTTTGTTCATTGTCACTTTGTTGCAGTTACAATTATGGCCAATCGTAAGAAATATCGCACAAATTTATGTGCATTTGTACACAAATATCAATCCCATCGTTTACCAACACTAAACTAAACGGACCAGCGCTTTACAGTAATTTCGCTGCGATCAGCATAAAGTAGAGGGTGCCTAATGAGAGCTGTAGCGGACTAGCCGCGTCTGAGACACTTTTCTCCTCCGGCAACACCACTATCACTGGGCGATTATTAGCCTGTTGCAAATTACGATAGTTATTTTTCAACGTTCTCTTTTCCTCATACTGGATCTCCTTGAAATTGTCAACCTGGATCCAACAAAGAACAACAAAAAACTTTAAAAATATTACATCACTCAACACAAAACAACTCACCTGCTCCAAAGTGACTGGGAATGTTTCGCTCAGCACAATCCAGGTTACCGCCTCAGCGCAAGAGGGTGTAGTCAGTGAGCCTGCATAAGTCATATAACCATTGAGTTTAGGGAAGAGTTGTCGTACAACAAAAGGCTTCTTCATGCGCACGGGTTCATTGAGTTTATCAAAACCTTTCACATCATCCAAGTAATCGACTATTTGGTCGATAGCTTCGTTACGCTCATTCGACACATGGTAGAGTACCGCTATAACAGTTAGACCATCCTTGAAATTTGACGCCATGGTTATATTGGCATAACGCTTGTTGCGACTCACTATGTGCGCCTCGAGTGGATAACGCACATTGTTGATGGTGTGTTCGGACCACCAATGCAAGTGAACCTGCTCGACAACATATTCATCTAATAATGGCCCGCCTTCCACCTCCATTTCATTGTTAAAGTTAGACAGTTGAACTGTGTATTAGAAATATTAGAACCGAGACATTTGTTAATTTGATAACAAATAAATAAATATGAGCAAGTTTTTTTACTCACTGGAATGTCCGTTATTCACGATAGTCACACCGCTCTGTTTATCTTGGAAGTTGTCAAGTTTGAGTTCGTCAAACACACCTTTCAATGATTTCGTTATGCTCAGATTAATGGGACTTTGACGGGTGCCCGTTTCACAGATGCCACCCCAGCTTGGAAAGGCTGAATTTGTGTTTTTAGAAAAGATAAAAAAGAAACAGGAAAGTTAATGCCAAAAATTTGTTTTCAAGTGATTACTCGTAGCATTGAATAGTTTCTGAAATTAACCGTATACAGCCGCAAATACATTAGGATTGTAGTACGGTTAGAGAAAATACTTGTTGTACTTTACGGGTTATAACCACTAAATTAGAAAAAACGCGTTTTTTGTGAATTTTTTTGATGAGTCGTTTAACTGAATAAATATAACGTATTGTACATTTAAGGAATTTAATATACTTTAATTGCTGGCGATTTGTATTCCAATTATTCTATAGCTGATCTCTTGAAAGACCTCCAAAAAGAGGTGTCTGGTGGTGAGAAACTTTTATCAGCTTTAAATTATCTCAAATTTAAATTTCTCTTGAAAGGCTTCCAAAAGAGGTAAGGTGGTGAGGAAGATTTTTCAGCTTTAAATTATCTCAAATTTTAAAACAACAAACAAAAATAATTTTAACAATACTTGAATTCAAGTAATGATCTAAAATCTAGTCAGACGTTTGATTTTTGACAAAATGGCGGCTTCCCAACAAAGTCGATTTTTGTTAAAAAAATTTACACTTCAGAGTGGACAAAAGGTCTTATTGCCTCGATCATGACCTAAAACGGCTGTGTAAAAATTTGATGTGGATCGGTCTAGCCGCTTCGAAAAAATATTCCATACGTACTCGGAAAACAGCGCTTCGAAAAAAACTATTCTCAAGTTTTGGGAGCCGATTACACTCCTACAGTTAAAAATTCTTACATATATGTACGGCCATATCACCGAGATTATTTTCCGGAAAATAATATACACGTACATAATATGCTAATTCGATATTCATGAAAAAACAATCGATTTTGGAAATTCACAAGTGGTTATAACCACTTAAGCTAACTATAACGAACATACACAACTCTTTTCTTCGGCATACAATATCAACTCTCACGACGTGTAATATCAATTCTCGGATCTACGTTATCAAAATAGACTTGAAGTTATTTAGGTTTGGCTATCTAAGTGACATGAGATTGAGATTGTAATATCTCTTTTTGATAATGCAAGTTGTTTGTTCGTTTCGCCACTCTTCAAGTTTAGGCACCTAATTACAATTTAATCTAAACTACGATCGAAATGGTTACTGTAAATTGTCTAATTGTCAATATTTCCAAGTTTTCAGCTATCACTAAGTGTAAGTAATTAAGAGGTAATTACAGATAAGATTACATAAAATCCCAACAAAAGTTTAGTACCGGTCTGTAATTACTGACGATAAAATAACAATTAGTGTATTTTTTCTGAAATTAATAATAATTTTAAATTTTCTTGACATCTTTAATTATTTAAGAAAATATTTTTTAAGTGTCTTTTCCATAAATGGAGGGACCATTGCCATTGTTCAAAAAAATATTGATGATAATAGTACTTAATACCTTTAAGAAGTCAAATAAATTCAATATAAATATATAAGTTTACTATAAATCTGCTAATAAGAAAACTAGATTTTTGAAGAAGATCTTTTTTTTTTGATTTTGATCAATCACTTTATACGACAGCTAAGGCTATATTGGGCCGATCTGAACAATGTATTTGGAGCTTTGCTTTGGACAATAATCCATGGCAAATTTCGAAAAGATATATTGTCAAAACAAAAAGTTTTTCTAAAAGAACTTGATTTTAATCGATCAGTTTGTTTAGCAATTGTTTAGTTTGTTTAGTGGTCCGATATCGGCGGCTCCAACAAATGAGCGGCTTCTTGAGGAGAAAAGGAGGTGTGCAAAATTTCAGATCGATATCTCAAAAACTGAGGGGCATGACGAACATGGCTAAATTGACTTAACTCGTCACGCTGAACACTTTTATATATACTTTATATACTTCTAGGTGTTATGAACTTGGCAAACTTTGTATACCCTGGCCAGGGTATAAATACGTGTTCTCTTAAGCGTTAAGCTCACTCTGAAGATGTTAAGTATTTCTGCCAGAAGCTTTTGTTCATCAGAAATACATTCAAATAGAATCTCTTATGAGATCGCAATTACTTCTCTACTTTGTGACCACCTAACTTCATCTGAGCTAATATTATCTGACATTTAAAGAATTTTTAAAAAGGCTTCGTATTTTGGCTCGCATTCAAACCATTGATTTTCATAAAATAGTCACCCACTTTCTTCACTCAACTACACCAGTGGGTGCATAAAGAGGCATTCAGATATAAATATGTATATTGACAAAAGCATGTATTAAGAAAAATGTAGAAGCTCTCAAATATAGATATGAGCTAATTAATATTAATATACCACAATCAACGTTCGCACATAGTACATAAGCATATGTAGAGTGTCCATTTCAAGCAACTAATTCCTCAATTACCCACAATTCATACTATGAACAAGCGCACATATTTAGACTCAGTCTCGCTTTTGTACACTCAGATTAGCATTTTAAATCACATGAATTGCTCCAAAAATTTAGCTAACCACTAAGGCACTATATGCGCTGGAAGACAGGTGATGGACTGACCGTCTCCTACGGGTGTCATTGCCCGACATTCGGCCACAACAATAACAGCAGTGAATAAAAAAAATAATAAAAACACTTTCTCAAATTGCGCGAATTAAGCAAAGAAACGAAGACATAAGTGGAACCGCAAGCGCACTTTATATATGTTTTTACGTATACATACATATGTACATATAAACATACATATTTACATATGTGGAAATAAATATATATGGGCTAATTTTGCAATTAAACGGTTGACAATAGCTGCCCAGTCTATATAATAACAGTAGAAGTGAGCATTTCGTACAGCAGTATGTATGTGTATTTATATACATACTTGTATGTACGTAGTATAATGAGGGGTGGAGCAATTTAGCAATTTACGCGCCATACCCCAGAATGCCCACAAATTATAGGAATTTAAAGTGACTTAAGCATGAATTGCACGGTAACAATGGAAGTGGCGATCAAATGTGGGCTATTGCTACCAGACAATCAGACACATAAACAAATTAGGGTGTTCCTTTTATAAAAATCGAATTTCATTATTAATGTTGGATTTAGAAACGGATTTACAAACTCCATGAAAACACAAAAAACTAATATTATTATTTTTATATATCTGAAAGATATGCATGTATAAAGACAATAATTTCCACAGTTTTTCCAAATAAATATCTAATATTAAACGCATTTTAAAACTTGAAGTCGACGCGTTGTAGTGTTTAAACATAAAAATTAACTTTAATGGCAATATATATTTAATGGTAATAACATTTTACTAACTAATGCCTTGGTTTTCAGGTTCTAAGTATGTAAATTCGCGATTTATTCAGAAGTGCAAGGCAAAACGTTAACTTCGGTTGCCTCAAAGTTTATTATATTGTAACTTCGCCTTCACAAGGTTTCCGTACAAGAACTTGCTTTTGAGCGGTCAGTTTGTATGGTAATTATAGTATATAAATAGTCCGATCTGAACAATTTCTTCTAAGATTATACCGTTGTACAAGAACATAATTTTGATCATTCAGTTTGTATGGAGTTATATGCTATAGTGGTCCGATATCGGCATTTCCTACAAATGTACAGCTTCTTGGGGAGAGAAGGACGTGCGCAGAATTTCAGATCAATATCTCAAAAACTCTGGGACTAATTCGCGACATAGCTAAATCGACTCAACTCGTCACGCTGGTTATTTATATACATATATACTTTATATAGTCTCCGACGTTTTCTTCTGATACCCTATTCATTCGTATAATCTGTGCAGGGTATAAAAACACTGAAAATCACCAACCTGAGAAATTAAGGTGTAAGAGAGTTCAAGATGGGATACATTTCATTTAAAGTTTTGAGTATAAACTCCAGCTACAGACAATCGAATGTAAAAACTTCTCTTCTATCCTTGTGGGTCACCCTAATACATAAAGATATATATATGTAAATCTACATACTTACTTAGTGCAGTTGCTACTCAAAAAGCTCTTATATACAGACCCATCATCCATTCTATTCAAATTATTATAATTTTCGGCACAAAAACCATTTTAGCACCCTTGACTACAACTCAACAAGTGCATCAAATTTAGTAGTCTCTTGTGTGATTAAGCTATTTACCATACTTGTATATAAATTTAAATTTTAGCCACAATTACCTTCATCTAAATCTCGGTCGGGATAGCTCCAATGTGAAGCGTCTGTGCGCTGCAGATCCAAAAGTAGAAGAAGCGCTGTAAATAGAGAATTTAATAATTTAAAAATATTATCAAATTGTTCAAGTAATTTTTTTGCACGGAAATGCCATTGCGCAATATAAAGTACCCAAAAAAATGCGGGAAAAAATCGTAGAGACATCATAAAATGCACTGGCATTGCAGAAATTACCCAAAAGTATACGAAACATTCAGCGATTTTTCACCTTTCATAATTCGCTCGAAAATTCGTTTTAATTGCCGGTAATAAAAACTTTGCCAAATTTTCAAAATAAAAACATAAACAAGTAAGTATGTAAGTAAATTCGTTTTAATTGCCGGTAATAAAAACTTTGCCAAATTTTCAAAATAAAAACATAAACAAGTAAGTATGTATGTGTACGTTGCCGCCCTTTCGAGTTTCATAAGCGTTTTCGTGTTGATTTCAAGCGCGCCGACCATTGAAAGAGTGTACCACTTCCGCGTCACGACGACACGCCAACAACGTTAGTCAGCTGGCTAGCTGAGCAGCGAGCAAGTGAATGATCAACGCTTGCCAATATGAACAGCGTGCAACAAGTGATATACATTTTTTGCCACAGAAGGTGCGTTCCACGGTCAATGGCGCCGTTTCAATAAAAATAGATGTATTGTAGATATACGTTTGCCGATCAATGAGTTTAGAATAATCGAAGCTTATCGTAATATTTTTAAAGCATATAAAGCTCTTCAATAATAGGGGCGCAGAAAACTTGAACTCTTTTTTTGACTTGATCTGAAACTCATCTTAATCGGTTAGTAGCTTTTTTTCCCTAGTACTATGTTCATCAAGAACTTAGGATAGCCTCGCTTAAATGCGAGTATTGTAACAACGGTGAACATACTAACAAACTGTTGAGGTTTTTAATTATACCCGAATAGTAACTGCCTTTCCCTATTAATTACAACTATATTTCTTTCAGCATGATGAAAAAAATTGTTTCAGATCCTCCTGTAAATACCCTATATCCAGTAGAACAGTAGGGTAGTAGTAATATAAACGTGAAAATTATTTCAATTTTCGGGATGTGTCCTTTACCAAGGACAAAAATTTAAAAACTAGTTTGCTTGAAATTTTTGATAATTTATAATTTTAAGTATTTGAATGGCACATTGCATTCAGTAAAGTTTTTGAAGTCATCGACATGGGTCTATGAATATGACGTCAAAACTATCCAAAAATCTAACGAATGGCGTTACAAAAATGAGTCGAAACCGAAAAAACAAAATTTCGTTGAAGGCACCGAAGGCCACCTCAGTCGAGGCGTATAACAACATGTATGAAAATTTTGATTAATCTTTGGCATGTTTGTATTTACTCAGTAGGCTATTCAAATGGGAAGGTAGTTTTTATACCCTCAACATGAACAGACATGGTTTTTAATACATCCGGTCGAGGTCAACAACAACAAGTTTTAGTTATTCGATATTTTCCGTTTATTGAGATAAACGTTTACCTGTTTAACTGTTATAAACAAAATCAAGAATATATGATGAGGCCATATATTGCTCCTGCTTTTGTCTTAGAAAATAGATAAATTGCAGTTGCATGATAGATCAACCACATCTCGACGAATTATGCCACGGCGACTGCATTGGCAAAACCACTTAAAAGGAAGTAGAGAACACGAAGAGGCTAGTCGGTCTTCGGAAGTTCGGTCAAGTTGCTTAAACAGTTACTGCGTCAACGGAGTACTGAAATCGAATTTTCAGTATTAAGAAAATCACCTACATATCTTCTTGGAATTCCCTTGTAAAGTGGCTCGAATTCATTACAGTAGAATATTGATAATTATACCCAGAATAACAAGAATACATTTTATCCACGTTTTCCTTCTATAACCCCCTAAGGGTAGTACCCTTCTCTAATTGATATCAACCAAACATGTAGTGAATTCATAAATAATTGTATTATTCATATTATTTTCATATTAGCGTAATCTTATCAGGATTGTACTGTACATACACATAATATGCACGCCAGTGCCAATTCGACAATGGTTTTCACTAAAATTAGACGCCTGCTAGCGCGCAACCTTGCACTTGATAGCCCCGATTCAGACACGAGTTTAAGTGGCGCGTCGATGTCTACCATTTAGATTTATTAATTTGCTATTGTTGTTGCATGCAACAGCTACCTCTTGGCGCGTACATTCAATTTGTTGGTGTTCCTTTTGTGTACGTGCCACACACCGCTTGGCGGGATATTTTGCACGCCAAGCGTCTACTAACTCAATGGAATGTGCAATTGAACATTAAAGAAAATAAAATTATTTATTATTGTTATTAGCTAAAGTAAAATGTAGACGTTGTAATGGTTTAAATGTTCCAAAATGCACTCGAGTGTTGGAGTCTTCTTGTCGCGGAATTTTTGCCCACTTGGCCGAGGAAAATTTTCGTACACAAAATTCGTTTGATCTTAGGAACATAAACCATTTATGCGGAAAATTACACATACTTGAAAATTACTTAATGTCTAAAGTATTTGTATAAATCTGTAAAAGAAGAAAATTACAAGCAAGTAGTGTTGGGGACAAACTATTTCTTTAGCTATGGCTATTAAGATCAAAATATATCTGGGACTGCTGGCTTTTCTACAATATAAAGCAATCGGCATAAGCAACAGAGAGCCGAGCTGATCCCAAGGCCACAGAAAACGAAATATAAAAGCAAGCGAAATATTGCAGTGGGATAGTGTGGGATCGATCTCTTCGTATAATCAGTCCAGAAACAGTTTTTGTTTAAAGTTTCCAGGTGATGTCAACAGGTGAAAATCTCAAAGGTCTAAGACATAAGTCGGGCTAAAGACGATGGTCTCTTCTTTACTACCGCAGGAATTATTGAGTAGAGTAGCCAGAAAAGCAGCAGGAAGAGAATACTCTACCGTTTCGGTCCATCAGAAAACTTCGTAGTATTATTCATTAACCAGGAAAGAAAGGAGAGGAAGACTAAAAATCATACCTTTTAGTTTTTCATGTTTCTGTCTATTTTACTATTTGTAGTGCTGACTGAGAGTTTAAAATTAGTTTGCACCTTTACCATATACAATATTTTCATATATCCAGCGATCTATATGAAGTGATCATACTTATCCTCATTTGACTACGGAAATTAAAATATCGAATTTTCACCGGGGATTCTTTCTCTCACACATCAATATTAAAGTGATTACAAAATACATCAGAAGTATTTGATTTGTACCCTGAAAAGGGTTCTTCAGTTGGTCATGATGTTTGTAACACACGGAAGGAAATGTCGGACAAATGATCAGCGTAATGAGCTGATTATCTATGTCCGCCTGTTTATACGCGAATATATATCGCTCAGTTTTTGAGATATCAATCTGAAAACTTGCAAATGTCCTTTTCAAGAAGCTGCTCACTATCGGACCACTAGAAGTAAATAGCTGTCATACGAACTGAACGATCAAAATCAATTTCTCGTATGGCAAATTTTTATTATTTGACAAAATATCTTCACGAAATTCGGCAAGAATTGGATGACACTGCGTATTATACGCAACCCATTTAATTGAATCGAAACGTTTTCAGTGTGATAGAGCATCGATATCATCTTATAGAAATTTTATATTCATGTGTACTTATACTCGTATATACATACATGTATACATGCATATACATATATTAAGTATATATAATAATAGTAAGTTATATTTTCATTCACATTTATTCATATCGAATCTCTTCAAACTCTTAAAAATAAAAACTGTACTGCTAAAACTTTTAAAATTAAAAAAAAATTTAAAAAAAAAATCGAATTTCTAATTTCCCCAGCAATTTTCTCAATGACATTGCACTTGTAGTGACAAAAATTCACTTGCTAAGTAAATAAAATGACTTTGAGTATTTTGCTTGTCATCATGCTGTCAAAATCTAAAAACGTGACAGCTTAATTGAGCGACTAACACATTGCAACTGGCAGCGCACAAATGGGCTGGGTAAAACTAAACGATACGTTGATCTTGAAATCTGTGAAAAATTTTTTCGTATCCATATGGTACATTTGTACATGAATTATGTACCATATAGATATGATTTGCATAGTGAATGATTTGCAATGTGAAAGAATCAAGTGGAATTTAAAATAGTGTTATTTCCCATAGGCGTGATTGTAGTCGGATTTCGCCCATTTTCGCACTATAACATAGAAATATGAGAAGAAGGTTATGTACCGAATTTGATTGAAATCAGTTAAGCAGATCACAGATAATTTTGAACGTGGTTCCTATAAAGTCATCTTATATCATCCCAGAGATAAAATTTAATGTCTCTGGCGTGTTTAGTGCTTGATTTATCGCCCTTTTAGTAGTTTTTAATAGTACCGTTGTATGGGGAGTGGGCGGGGTTATCACCCATTTTCACACTGTCGATAGAGGTGTTAAAAACATTTGTGCTCCATGAACTTTGTTATCATCAAATATATTGGGGTGTGAGACCACGCCCACTTTTCAAAATAATTTAAACTACAGATGCGCCTTCCTAATGTGATCCTGTATATCAAAAACCAGTATTGTATGTTTTTGTGGAGCTTAGTTATGGCAATTTATTTGTTTTTGATTAATGGCGTTTTGTGGGCGTCGCAGTGGTCCGATTACGCCCATCCGCAATACCAAACGTCTTACCGTAAAAAAAAATATTTGTACCAAGGTTCATAAAGATATCTCAACTTTACTCAAGTTACAGCTTGCACGGTCGGGCGGACGGACAGACAGTCACCCGGATTTCCACTCGTCTCTTCATCCTGATCATAGCAACATGTTGCGAGAGTATAAAAAATTGATATAAACAAATTAGCACTGCAACATACATATGAAACTAAATATGTTTTGGAAAGTTTAAAGTTGAAAATATTTGAGAGAAGAGTTAACATATTTAAAAAGGAATTTTATAATATTATCATATTATTGTAATAGTTTTGTAATTGTATTGGGTACCAAGTATTTTTTGATTATTTGGTGGTTTAAAATGAAAGAAAAAGTCAGAAAGTGGCCACCTCATTGAGGTAAAGCAAATAATATTTGTGAGAAGAGTTGGCACATCAATAATAATTAAATTGATAAGATTAGCACATTATTGTAATGTAGGTATTAAGCTGAAAAGCATTATATTTTTTGATTATTTAGTGGTTTAAAATAAGTTGAAAAGGCCACCTGTTTAAAATTTTTAAAAGAAAAAACCTGATAACATACAAATTAACATTACAACATGCATTTGAAACTAAATACATATGATTTGGAAACTTTAAAGTTGAAAATATTAGTGAGAAGAGTTGCCACCTATTTAAAAATAATATGTATAAGCTCAACTTATTAATGTAATATTGGTTTTAGACTAAAGACGATTTTAGAAACAAAGTAATAGATACTTATAAGCAACGTTGCCACTAGAAATTTATCAAATAAATACAATTTTACAATATGGGTATAATACGATCTGAAAAGCAGCGAAATTGCATCAGCAGTTTCTATATCGCTCTTAGTTGTCTCATAACAAACATATTATTTTTAGAATGTGGTTATCAAAATAATTTAGTATTTTAAATCTGTTCTATTCAATATTAACGACACACGCAGAGAAATTTCATTGCTATCGCT